AAGGTGTATTCCCAGAAGAGGCATAATTTAATGGGGAAGATGGTGGATTTGGAAAACTCTGGACTCAACTCCTGATGCTGCCGTTATTAGCTGTGTGAACTTCATCAAATCACATCACTGTTCTGAATTTTAGTCTTCTAAAAACTAAGAAAAAATTATATATAGACTTTTCCCTTCATCTGTGACATCATTTAAGAAAATATGATATAGGATTAGATATTTATATCTATTTTTTGAGCTACTTTTATTGTGGTGATTTGTTTTTGCAGTAGACACACATGGATACTTGAAACTTGAGAAATATACCCATCTTGTCATCTATTGAGGTGGCAAATTCATTTTGTTTAATGATAAATTTCCTTTTATCTTATATCAGAACACTTTGGCCCCAAAGATGTTTTAAATAACATCTGGGGGCACAAATAAGCTATTTAAGAGTTAATAAAAGCCTATTCACAAATCTTTTTGAAATTTATGTCCAATCTTTAGTTTTTTATATGCTGCTCAGTTATGAAAAGGAGAGAGAGCATAAAAGCTGATTTTTATTAGATTACTTATATGCTCAGTGTCTTTTTTTGGTCTTATCTAATCCCGCAGAAATAATCTAGAAGGATGTGCAATTCACTCTTCTCAGATACTGCTCACCATCTGTTTTCAAAGTGAGAAATGAGCATCACTTTGTACCTTATTTCCCTTTGTCTGCTAAGTCCAAACTCGGGGAAAGAGGTCACTGTTTATTCTGTTTATGACTAACTTGATATTAACAATTCATGTTCCATACTCTGCTTTTTTAATATGGTTTTATGGTAACTATTCATCCCCCACCCCCCCCCAACTTTTTTTGGCTCCCTCACGTACTTATTGCAACAGATACTCTTGGCTCAACGAAATAGGGAACTCATTCATCAGGAATGTTTGATTGGGTTTTTTTCAGAAACAAAACTGTTTTGCTTTTTGTTTTTAGTGTTTTCTTTTTCTTCTGTCAGACATGATCCAGTGTGGAAGGAAGAGAGAGAAAAACAAGAGAATCTTGGAAAACTGACGTGAATTGCAGCAAGTTCTTGGGTTTAGATAGAAACGGGAGGAATGAAAGTATAACGAGTGCATAGCTCATCAGTATATTGGAGATGCTCTTGTATATGTAATTGAGGTTTTATCAAGAGCATTAGCTATGCTGAAGATAATGGTGACAATAACTAATCTCACTGGGTAATAAATAAGCAGGCTCAGAGAGGCAAGAAACCTGGCTTAGAACACATTGTTAGTAAGCATTGTAGGATTTTCCCTGTATACTCTTGTGTGTAGCTCAAAACAGTGTTTTTTGTCTAATCATATGTCTAGTCATACTGTTGTCTATGCCTTATGCTTAAAATGGCAGTGACTTTATAGCAGAGACTTGCTGAGGTGCATGTTCTCTTCTGGAATGTTCTACGACAGTCGTCATGTAAGGACAAGAACGTTTGAAGATGATTATACAGCAGTAGCCTTATTATGGAATGCTTACTGTATGTCATGTATGTATCTATTTGTTTTATCTGTATTAACTTTTCTGCCCTGCAGAATGCTCCTTGGGGGGGGCGGGGCAGCCACCATTATTTTTTTCCATTTAGAGGTGAAGGTCAAGGCATAGTAGGGTTTCTAACTTGCCAAGGTCCCAAAGCTAGTGTATGTTCAAATGCAAGCTGTCTGGCTCCGTAGTCACCCTACAGTGTGACCTTTTAGCCTGATGAATTAGCAGCTGTGACTCTTTGAGAGCCATGACTTGGCCTCAATGGACATAGGAAATAGTTTCACGTGTGTGTGTTTCCAAGACTATCATATTTTTCATCAATTATAAGTAATGCACACTTTTTAGGATAGTCATTGTAAAATGTAACCCCAAGCCATAGTTAGAGGGTGGGGAAGATTAAGTCATTTGGAATGGTTTTGAAAAACTCTCTGGGCAACTGGCCAGAGTTTTTGCTGGGCCTTGGGATCTTGAATGTTTGTAAAGAGTGGGGAGATTTTGTGTCTTTGCACATAAGTGTCCCTGCGTCATTTTGGTCTTTAGCCTGAACCACTCAGTGATGGAAAAAGAAATCTTGAAAAGATGAAAGGGTAGAACTAAAGGGAAGCCCTGCATAGATTTCGAAAGACTATAGAGTTTCACAGTTATAATGTATAATGTCCACTCTCCTTGTGATATTTTATATGAGGTTATTTATCTTTTCTCTTTGAGAACATATTTTCCCTTATATTTAAAAATATCTTGTCTTTAGAACTCTTTTAAAATGTTTGGAGGGCAGAAATAGGTGAAGTAGGTTCTTTATTTTCTAGCCATTTTTGTCTTGGAAAAATTAACATGTTTCTTTGTTCACTGGTGTAGTTATTCAGCAGTTGTTTGTTGAACACTTCCTGTATTGTAGACCCTCTACAAAACTCTGGAGATAAAAGATAAAGTGCTGAATTTGTCCTCAAGGCATTTGGTTCTGGTGGGAGAAAATGTCAGCTAGTCAGCCTGCAGATAAGAAGTGCTATGTAAAAAAAAAAGAAGTGCTATGGAAGCAGAGTGGAAAGCTTGGTCAGGGCACAAAGGAAGGAGGACATTAGTTCCTCTGATGGTGATCAGCAGACATTTGAGCCAAAGCTATGAACAGTTTTAGGGCTGGGTAGGCCAAGTTGGGCAGGGAGGGTGTTAGAGACTGGAGTGCTCAAAAGCCTGGGACAGTGAAGGACAGGAACCACCACCATCATCTCACAGCTCGAAAAGTTGACCATTGTAAGCAGCTCTGGTTCCCTGTGAAGGAAATGCCATGTGGACTCAGGTCCATGGATTCATGGACCTCTCTAGCCAGTTTTCCTTCATTACTGGGTAAAGTGGCACTGCTTCCCTTGTTCCTTCCTTCCTTCTTGTTTTCTTTCCTTCTTAACTTCCTTTTTCTGTTTAGTTGATGAATTTGAATTAGATGTAAGCATTTTTCACATCAGGCTTAATCTTACTGAGGGAAAAGGGAAGGAGAAAAAAAACAAGCAGCCTCCTATCACTCAATAGGATATAAGGTTTTCTGCTATTTGTTTCTATGTCTGTCTTCATATATTTCTCAGGAAATTCAATTTTTCTGCTATTCTGTTAGCATGCCTCTTTGATTAGGAGTGCCTGTATCACTGCTTTTCTCAGCTTTTTTTGTGAGTCATTGTGGATGAGCATGGCATGGCCATGGGGAGACTTCCTTGGTTGAGTACCTAAAATTTGCTTCTTTGGGTTTTTGTACTGGGACTGCAAAATGCTCATGTTTAAATAACTTAAAATTCCTGGGAAACTCATAAAACAGCCTGACATGATGTTAAATAGTTTGTGCCTATAAGATACTTTGCAGATGGCTAAGATAAGTATGAAGGATGCTTTATATGTTTTGACTTACTGTCTCTTCAATTATATTATATAAAATTCAGCAGACTTCTCCATGATCACTCGGGAAATGAATGATTTTCCTGTCATAAATCACAAATACCACAAACTAGAGGAGGATTCTAATTGACGGGTACTCATCAATAGTTTATTTATATTCTCCAGGAGGACTCCCCAAAATGTAGCATCCACCATATTTATTCTGAAAAATATATTCTTAAATAAAATTGCCCTGACACTGGCTGCTGTACTCAAGCAACTTAAAAAAATCCCAACTGCTACTTTGCTTAGCAAACTAGCTGGATGTCCCTCCATGATTGTGTAAGATGAAGATAAATTGTGCATGTGCACACACACATGCAGATTTTATTCCTCTGTTCACAGTGTTCTGATTCAGGGCAACTTGAAGATGATTTGGAGGTGTTATGATTAACTTTGCATTTATCCCAGAAAATTTCACTGGAGGAGAAAATGCATTCTTGGCATGCAGTAAAACCCCACATTTGGTTATATAATTCATTTGTGATTTAAATTTTCATAATTTATTCAGTAAGTCCAATGAATGTAATGTTGGATAGATAATAAGCTAATTTAGTTTTATGAGTAAAAAAAAGTACATGACTGATCTATCATTTTACAAAATGAACTGCTGAATCATGGATTTGGATGTGATTTAGGGGAGCCTTCCCACACCCCTCCTCCTCCTGGTCTTCTAGCTCCATCCACACATCCTTCCTGCTCAACCCTAATCTTCTTTGATCAAAGGGAAACACTTTAAAGAAGGAAATCTTCAGGAGTTTTAATATAATTACCTTTAGGATGAGAATTCCGTTTAAAGTAGTACCATTGGCTGATTCAATAATGTCTAGAATTCTGCCCAGACTTGAAAGTACTTTGTGTCCGTTGCTGAATATTGCTGCTGTCTTCATGTTTTGCTTCTGGGATTGAACTGTGTAAGTTTTTCAGTCTTTAAATACATTCTGGTGGGTATCAGTGCGTTTGCAAATAAAGATTTCCATGCTTGACCTGGTCACGATAGAAATGATCTGGTTCTGCTGCCCTGAAGTTTTCTCCATTTTGAGAGCAGAGACAAATAACCCACTATTATCTCATCACCTTGATACTGTCAGTGGTGGTTTACGAAAGCCGCTTTGGGGTTAGACCCTGGGAGTGGCTAGGATGGTAACAAAACCAGATTCAAGTTACAGACGAGCAGCTTCACAAATTATCGAATTCATATGCTGTATTATATTCTCACAAGAGGGAACATTTTGCCAAAAAGTCTGTTCAAATAAAATTTCCTTTGGAATATTTTCTCCTACTCTGAGGACACGTGCGTTTCCCCAGCCCATTTTTCCTGCCCCTAGTACCTCATGTATGGGAGCATTCGGCAGGCAGTGAATGAATTCCTTTGTCCCTGCGTCTGAATGGTCGAGTGGAAGTCTTCACCCAAACAATAGCTTGTGGATGGTCTGCACTGGGAAGGCCCAGGCGCCACTTCAAAAGCGATTTCCCCATCCTGGCAGGGCAGGACATGTTCTCCTCAGTCTGGGAAGTCATAGCTCTATCCCTGGTCAACACTACACCTCCCTTCTGCTTGCTTCCTTCCCAGGAGCTGTGGCATCCGAGTGCGGCTGCCAAGAGGAATCCAGGAAAGCCAAAGAGCCCAAGCATGTCAGACCTTCCTGTAGCCACACACAACACGCCTCAAACCCCGAGGAAGCGAGTGAGAATCACCGGGAAGGAGACGGCCAACCAGGTGAGCAACCACATCAGTCTGAGGGCTAAAGCAACAGGAAAGGGCTTTTGGCAGTTCTGTGCGTTTGGCAACATGCGGATTTGACCTGAGCTTACACCAAATTACCTCACGGCAGATTATTTTCTGCCGAGCACTACAGATGTTAGGGTGACTCCACTGAGCTCTTGGGCTGAGGACAGATGAATACATCCAAGAGGACGACTTTGTTTCCAGGTGTGATGAGGGATTGCTTCTCCTCGTTCAGGAGGAGGTTAAATCCCAACTTTTTTTCCGCCTTTAGGGGAGGTTCTTTTGTTCAAAGCCAGTAGGGGAGCTTTTGGTTTGGGTCTTGAGTTTGGTTTTGAGCCTTCTGGTTTGGCTCAGTATGGGTGTGGGTGTGTTTGTGCTTGTGGGTGGGGTGTGTGTATGTGTATTTGTGTATTTCCACATAGATGGCTAAGAATGTTTTTCCTTTTTATAAATATAAATCTCGCTCTCTTTTCTTTTCTTTTTTTTTTTTTTTTGCTATTTGGGTCCATATGTTTTGAAGCTACCTCCTAGGTGAATTGAATTAGACTATGCTATTTTTATTTACTTTTTAATGTTTTTAGTAATGAAATCACTGGTTGGAGCCCTATGCAGTTTGGTGCTATAATAGGATTTGCCAGGGTTCCATTGTACTCTAAATTAGTTTTAAATTTCTGCCCCTTGCCTTCCTTTTCATTTATGTTAAATGTTAACTATTATGTGAAGAGAAGGGATTTTAATGATAGTAAGAAGGTATTTAGAGACTCCCGCTCTACTGCTCATAAAAAAAAAAGAAAAGAATACAGACTATCAACAGGGGAGTTGGATCCCTGAAACAACTCTCAGGCAGAGATGTTAATGCCCACACTGTTGACATTTGGGGCTAGATAATTCTGTATTGTAGGGTTTTTTCCTGTGCACTATAGAAGTTAGTGACAGCCCAGGCCTCAACCCACCAATTCCTAGTAGCACTCAACTTCCCCGGTGTGCAGCTGGAAAAGTACTATGGAGGATAAAATTGCTCCCAGTTGGGAACCATTGCTTTACGGATAAATTCTTACTGAGGAAAAGAAGGTAGAGAAAATAGTGAAGATGGAGACTATGGAGCTATTGATTTTTGCTTTTTAAATATGTTACCTGGGTAGTTCCAAAGAAAGTATTGGTTTGACCAAAATTTTGTTCGGGTTTTCTCTAACAACTTTTTGGTCAACCCAATACATCTTTTGCAGATGAGGCCTGCCAGTAAAATTCTTGCTTCACCTTCAGTTCCGTTCAGTTCAGTTGCTCAGTCGTGTCTGACTCTGCGAGCCCATGGACTGCAGCACGCCAGGCTTTCCTGTCCATCACCAACTCCTGGTTGTCCATCACCACCAGTTACCTATCCTTTATTGACTGGCATTTAGTTTAGATTAATTTAACAGTTGTAACTCACTTAGAACAAGGATTCATTTTGATGCTCTCATGATCAATTGAAGAACTTCTGGGTATTCATATCCTGCAGTACTTTCTTTAAAGGGGACAGCCTGATCTCTGGGTGCTTTTATAGCACTGGCTTATTGATTGGTGAACGAGATTCAAATGAGGGCTTCCCTGATGGCTAAGACGGTAAAGAATCTGCCTGCAATGCAGGAGACTTGGGTTTGATCCCTGGGTCAGAAAGATCTCTTGGAGGAGACAATGACAACCCCCTCCAGTTTTCTTGCCTGAGAATTCCATTGATGGAGGAGCCTGGTGGGCCCCAGTCCATGGGGTCGCAAGGAGTCTGACATTGATGAGTGAATAACACACACGTTAGAACAAGAATTGATTGTGATGCTCTCAGGATCAACTGAAGAACTTTTGGGTATTTGTATCCTGCAGTACTTTCTTTGAAGGGTACAGCCTGATCCCTGGGTATTTTTGTAGAGCTGGCTTATTGTTTGGTGAACAAGAGTCAAATGAGGCTCATGTGAAACTAATTGAATGGGTGAATTGAATGAAGAAAGACACCCACAATACTCTTTAATTCAGTTTTATGAATGGGAGGTCAGATACATGAGTTAAGGATAGGTTTGACTGAATTCACTGTCTTCTACAGTACTGAAATTGTCCAGAGTATTGCCTTCTTCCTGTATTGGATTGTAGTTTATGTGCTCCGTTCTCAATCTCCTTCCAAATTCACTCTCTCTCTAGTAGTAGAATGTTTCAGTTGCCAGACAAGTGGAGTCATGTCTCCACTGTGATTTAACATTAAATGTCCTGCTGTCTTTATTTCAAAAAAAATTTTTTTCCTCTTTATTCACTCTTCACATGAACATACACGTTTGCCAGGCACGTTCTTGCATTTCCTTTTTCTCTTGCATCCTTCCTGCCCTTGTTTTCTTCCTTTTTCTCTGACTGTAGGAACTGTCAGCTGGCCTGGCTGGCATCGTCTTACCTTCTTTTGAACTGTGTTACCCAGAGACCTCTGTTTATTATGCCTCGGGCACGCTCTGTCTTGAATGCTGGATCTCTCTGAGGGATAGTTAATGATCTTTGCAGCAAATGAAGGTGAACTGTAGCCACATTATTGTGATAATACAGCCAACTGTATGGAACAGATTGAGCTGAGCTTTGAACAGCTGGGGCTGGCAGAGTGAGTCTTGACTTCTCTCGGAAGAGTTCCAGAACTGCCAAATCATCAAACTTGAAGGAGAAAGAGGGACAAGAAAGGTTAGGGGAACAGTGGTTCCTGCAGGTGCTTTTTGCTTTTGTGATCTACCTTTCTGGAAATTTTGCCGGTTTGTAGAGCAGGCTCAGTGCAGATCTATTTGAACCCAGGGGCTGCTGTCACTGCTTTTGGACTTGTCTGCTTCGTGACTGGGATGGCATTTTCATGTTCACTTGCAGGCATGGAACATGTGATGGAAACATGCTTCTGTCAAGGCTTATGCCACCCTTACATCCAGTGAGACAATTTGTAGTTTTAAAGATGTGCAGCCTGAACAGAACCCTCATATAAATTCATAAAGGCTCTGTTGGAACCTTTGGACTTGGACTGTTGTATGGCTTTGTGATGGATATAATAAATGGACATCATTGTGGGGTATGACAGATATTATAAATTGGTGGCCCACTGAGCCAGATCCAGCCCTCAAATATGCTGCTTGCCCTTACAAGGAAGTGTATGTATGTGTGTGTTTAGAGAACGAGCTGGCAGTGTTGGTTTGTTTTTTTCTTAATTACATAAAAATCTGGTTAATCTACCCAAAGAAGCCAAAAGATCTGGCTTCCCCAAAGCCATCACCTCCCATGGCACACACCAGCAGGGGCTGAGTAAATGTGGTCCCATACCTGTGTCCAGTAGGGAAGGCAGGGGCTTTGCAGCTCACAGAAGTCCTCACCTGGCACCCTCACAGTCACTTCTCCGTGGGCTTCTGCCAGAGATCAGGGGAGACCAGATAGAGACTTTGGGATGGGGAAGAATTGGGTTTGACTTGTAGTTTCACAACCAGCTTTGTCAATTTGGGCAAGTGACTTACCTTTCTGAGTCTTAGTTTCCTTGTGCATAAAATGGAAATAAAATTCTCCCCCTTACAGTTGTTGTAAAAAACATGAATTTAGGTAGAAAATTTGACACCCTTAAAAAAGAACCATGATGCTACACACATCAGCCATCATTGTAATTTTCAGCTGCTATGTATCATAGGTGATTTGAGGCCAGTCGTTTAGAGTCATATTGACTATGTTATAAAATTAGATGAACACTCCTATTACTCAGGACAATGAGGGGACTTGTGTCTGGGCTTCCCATATTTCTGTTTTTGTCTTCAATACAGAATTTACAGTGTCTCTAGGGAAGTAATAGTATAGAAACTGAGTTCTTAGGGGTGACCTTATCTAAAGAGAGAAAATCTTACAATTTAGCTCATATTAGGTAGACACTTGATTTTCTTTTGACTGAGTCATGACTTAGTAATTACAATCTAAACTCTTGAAGTTTCTGTCTCCCCATCCCAATTAAATTCAAAATAAGTTTGATGATAACCCCAAGGATTGAAGATACTCAGCATTTTCATGGAAGGAAAGCTACAGAAATGAGAGTGGTATATCAATTAATATATTTCCTTAGAAGTGGGAGTTGAATTTAGTTCTTGTTAGGCTTCCAATCTGTTGAAGACAGCAGTGTATCAGCATCTTGTGCTCACATATTCTTTAAAATTTCAAGGGATTTTTTTTCTCTGTTCTTGCACTCAATTGATATCTTTTCTCTCTAATCTCTGACCTTTGACATCTATCAGAAGGTTCCAGAATGCATTTGACTGCCACACTAGGTGCGCTTCCTGTTTATTACATATGTAGTTAGGAAATACAGGTTTTTCCGCCCATTTTTCTACTTCCTGCAAAGATGGGTTTCCTTTAGATGTGGATATTTCACTTAAATGCGTATTCCTGTCTCAAAATGGTAAGGGAAAGCAGGGCAGTAATTTCTTATTGTATTCCACTTTGTGAATATATCTGGAAAGCTCATATGTTCCAGTGAAAAACTACTTAGAAGAAGCAAGCAAGGTGGCTAGAAAATGTTAAGGCGGTTGTGAGACCAGTGGGAGAAAATGTATGTAAAAGGTGAAAAGTGAGCTGTGATTAGCTTAGGCATAGAGTTCAGAATTCAAACCACGCCGTGTGATAAACAGTTTTGTTTTCAGGTGTTGTCTTAAATCCACCTTGGATGAGTAAATGCCATTATTAGAACAGAAGGTCCCTGAGCAGAAGGCATAAGAGAAGAAAATGTTATTTTTAGAGCCCTTCTTCTAAAAACCTTTCTGCATGGACATGTAAGTCTACCTCTGGACCTTGAAACTGGGCCCATATCTAGATATGATTCCAGGTAACTACTCAGAACCCCTTTTTCTTCCAGCCTCTACCTGATGCTGTGCATGGAGGAGGTGTAAGGAAAGAGGGAAGGAGATGAAGAGAGGAGGAGGGCAGAGTGTGGCTGGAAGTGGGGTGATTTGGAGAATGAAGGTTCTTTGCAC